AGTTGGGCCAGAGAGGCCACAAAAATATCAGACCCACCCTAGCCACAGGGCCTTTGGCCTGCCCCTGACCCTTATCATATTTTTTTCTTAGATATCAAATGCATGCAAGGGCAATTGGGTGCTGGATTACTGTAATGAACAAAAGCAAGTGTCTTGACTCAAGGAGAAGGACCACAAACAGGTAAATACACAGGCAAGGAGGACGAAGGCCTCTAGAGATGGCGGCTGTCTGTGAGATGGCATTTGAGCTGACACCTAGAAAATGAGAAAATCCGCCTTGTGGATTGTTGGAAGCAGAATGCTGAGCAAGGAGTGAAAAAGGCAAAGAAGCTGGTCATGATGGCCCACTCCTTTAATCCCAGCACTCAGGAGGCAGAATTCTAGGCCAGCCTGGTCTACAGAGCAAGTTCCAGGACAGCCAAGGCTACATAGAAAAACTCTATCTTGATATAAAACAAAAGCTGGGCGGTGGTGGCGCACGCCTTTAATCCCAGCACTAGGGAGGCAGAAGCAGGGGGATCTCTGAGAGTTCAAGAACAGCCTGGTCTACAAGAGCTAGTTTAGGACAGCCCCTAAAGCCACAGAGAAACCCCATCTCAAAAAACCAAAACCAAAACAAAACAGAAAAAGTACAAAGACCTTGTGGTACACACATACTTAAGTTGTAGAAGAGAGCTGGATTATTGTGATTAGGAGGAACACAGTAAAAATAATTTAGGTGCCAAGAGCCATGGTAATGTGTATATTATATAAATTTTTTGATAAGGTCTTATGTAGTCCAAGCCAATTTCTTCAAACTATCTTCTTGTCTCTACTTCTCAAGTATTGGGATTACAGGGAGAGGCCACTAGGCCAGTCTTCAAAAACATTTACTTTTGTGGTGATGGGGGTGGAACCCCTAATAGCCTTGTGTGTACTAGGCAAGTATTCTACCACTGAGCTATATCTCCAACCCTCACAAGAAGTTTTTTGTTGTTGTTGTTGTTGTTTTGAGACAGGGTTTCTCTGTATACTACTTTGGAGCCTGTCCTGGAACTCACTTTGTAGACCAGGCTGGCTTTGAACTCACAGAGATCTGCTTGCCTCTGCCTCCTAAGTGCTGGGAACATTTGGGATTTTGAGACAGGGTCTTGCTGTAACCCAGGCTAGGCTGAAACTCACTATATAGCCTTGGCTAGTCTCAAATCCCAGGCAGTCTTTCTAACCCAGCCTCCTGAATGCTGGGATTACTGGCATGCATCACCACATTCAGTCTCAAATTTGACTGTAAAAGGATGGGGATGGCCAGGCATTGGTGACCTTTACCAGCACTCGAGAGGCAGAGGCAGGCAGATCTCTGTGAGTTCCAGACCAGCCTGCAGAAAAACCCTATCTTTTTTTTTTTTTTTTTTTTTTTTTGGTTTTTTCGAGACAGGGTTTCTCTGTGGCTTTGGAGGCTGTCCTGGAACTCGCTCTGTAGACCAGGCTGGCCTCAAACTCACAGAGATCCGCCTGCCTCTGCTTCCCGAGTGCTGGGATTAAAGGTGTGCGCCACCAACGCCTGGCACAAAAACCCTATCTTGAAAAACCAAAAAAAGCCGGGCATTGGTGGCGCACGCCTTTAATCCCAGCACTCGGGAGGCAGAGGCAGGCGGATCTCCGTGAGTTCGAGGCCAGGCTGGACCGACAGCCTCCAAAACAATACAGAGAAACCCTGTCTTGTAAAACCAAAAATAATAATAATAATAATAATAATAAAAATAAAAAACAAACCAAAACAAAGTTAGACAGTGGTGGCACATGCCTTCAATTCCAGCACTTGGGAGGCAGAGTCTGTGAGTTTGAGGCCAGCCTGGTCTACAGAGTGAGTTCCAGGACAGGCTCCAAAACTCCAGAGAAACCCTGCCTGGAAAAGCAAACAAAAAACAAAACAGAAAAAAACCCAGAAGTCAAACAGGGAGAGGAGTGGATGCTGGTACTCCAATTTCAGGCTGGGTAGCAGTCTACACATCTGTACAAGGACCAGATCTTAGATGACTTTATGCTATTGTCAGAGTGCTGCAGACTGGGTAAATATAGCCACAGAAGCATAGCTTTCACACCTCTCATCATCATGGCAGGACTGTAAGTGAGCAAGCACATGGAGCACAGGGGGAAATGTGGTCAGACTCACCCTTTTCATCAGGTACCAACTCCCGCTAATGCCTTAATCCACTTCTGGGGGCTAGACTCCTGTAATCATATCTCCTTTTGTTGTTTTTGGTTTTCAAGTGAGGGTTTCTCTGTGTAACAGCTCTGGCTGTCCTGGAACTAGCTCTGTAGAGCAGGTTGGCCTCGAACTTACAGAGATCTGCCTGCTTCTGTCTCCCCAGTGCCGGGACTAAAGATGTGTGCCACCACTCCACTGCCCCTTCTAATTATATCCTCTTAAAGGTCCCACTTCATGGGACTGATGAGATGGCCTAGCAGACTAATGTCCCTGCCGCCCAGCATAACACCCTGAATTTGATCTCTGAAAAAAGAACTGACTCCAGCAAGTTGTTCTCTGAACTAACACATACACACTCTAAGTAAAGGCAATTTTTTAAAAGTCCCATCCTTTTAATATTATCATGGCAGTTTGGGAGAGACACTCAAGCAACAGCAAGCATCACCCTTTATTTGGGGAGACAGTCTCTCTATATAGCACAGGCTAGTTTTGAACTCCTGTCTCTTCTCTAGCTTCAGCTTCCTGAGTTCTGAGATTACAGGCATGTGCCACCATGCCTGGTGGGCTACCACCTCTTAGAATGGTTCCCAATGGGTGAAAACTAGGGGTTCACAGGAGATATAGGGATATGTAGGAAGGAATGACTGGTGAGAGCGAACAGAAGCAGGACTCCAGAGGGTAGGACACTGGCAAATGCCCGTGGAGTAATGACAAGTAAGTTAATGACTGGAGAACAGGCTCTGGAGAGTGAGTGGGGACTTTTGAAGTGCAGACAGCAATTGGAGTGGCATCAATGGGGAGCTTCTGCATAGATCCATACCTTTCACCCATTTGCCTGTTCAGTAACCCAACCAAAGCCTGTGCAGGGAAGGCAGGTCTTAATCCAGAGAGCAAGTCCTCTGGTCCTAGCAGCTTTCCATCAGAAGCCTAGGTAGAGTTAGGGGTCATGGCTCTCCCTAAGCCTTATGACTAGGAGGACTTGCATGGCCTGGGTGAACTCTTCATCCCAGTGGTCAGTTACCTGCTTTCCTAAAGCAATGCCCTCTGAGTGAAAATGCATCTACTCTCCAACTTCTCAGCCCAGATGAATATGCTGAACTAAGAAAGACCAGGAACAAGGTGGAGGCAGATTGCTTGTAGAATCTTTAGGAAAACAGGAAAATAGTTCCAGAAAGGGTAAACAACCTGTTACTGGGTAACCCCTGCCACCCACTTATTTATTCCAGTGACCAGACAGAAGTCAAACTTTCGTTTTTCACTTTATTATACAAAAAAGGGAAAACAAAACCTCCACAGTGGGCCTTAAGCTGGGTCAGTCACATCTAAGCTGTTCCCATGGTACAAATTCAAGTGGGGTGGTTATTGAAACCTATAAAATACTCCTTAAATATTAGAAAAAGGGGGAAGAGGGACCCCAGTGCTAAAATGTACCCTGGGCAACCTCTGACAGCACCGCCAACCCCCAGAGCCCTGTCTGTAACAATTTCCAATACTTGAAATAGGAGGAACACATGTCGTGTTCAAAGTTGTTTTGTTTTTGAGACAGGGGTTTCTGTGGCTTTGGAGGCTGTCCTGGAACTAGCTCTTGTAGACCAGGCTAGTCTCGAACTCACAGAGATCCACCTGCCTCTGACTCCCGAGTGCTGGGATTAAAGGCATCCACTACCACTGCCTGGCTCAAAGTTGTTTTTAAGTGAAAACATTCCACTCAAAGTGTAATGGTCCAGGGCCTTCAAACAAGATGGGGTTCTTTGCATCCCTTTCAGGAACTTAAAACCCTGCACCAAATTTTAGAATAAGGACAATGGGTGTGTAGGGGTGATAGCACTCCCCAGGAATCTTTACAATACAGTCCAGGCAAATGCCTGCCTTCAAGGAGGACTGGTAGATGAGCTGAAGCCCCACACTTTATGCGGACAGCCTACTACCCCACCCCTGGCTTTCATTCTAGAGGCAAAAGAATGGGCAGCACGAAACCCAATAGCATGAACAGAACAAATTCTGGGCAACTTTGTAAAAGGGAAAATCTCCACGGTAAGGTGACTTGGCTTATGAAAGAGTACAGGGACTAATCCCAGAAGGCCTGGACCTGCTAGCAAGGTTTAGAGGGCCAGGTGCAGAAAGACCTTCCCCAGCCCCTTCCCCAGATACAGGGGTGGAGGCAGGAGAAGGGGAGCAGACCTGAGAAATCAAGGGAAATGGGGGTGGCCAGAGGACATGGGGCAGGGCAGGAGAGACAAGTAGGCAAAAAGATCTCAGGACATTTCCTGAAGGCCAGGGAACACCCCCGATGAGCCAGGAGCCTTTCCCACTGAAGGAGAACTTTTAAGGCTCACACGGTTGTCTGCCCCTTCCCACTTCCTGCTGGGCAGCACAGACCTGCTGCAGCTCAGGTACATGGCCTCGACAAAGGCAGACTGGCATAGGAACATCAGGTGGTTTCCACAGTGGAAGATGGCAGGGAGGGACAGGCTTGGCCCGTTCCTGCCATAGTCACCATCTCCCAGGCCTTACCAACCCTTTTTCCAAATTCACAAACACCAAGGTGGGTTCTAAGACAGACCCCTTCTCTCTCTCTCTCTCTCTCTCTCTCTCTCTCTCTCTCTCTCTCTCTCTCTCTCTCTCTCTCTCTCACACACACACACACACACACACACACACACCCTTCCCTATCCACAGGTGCATCCATACTATAGCAAGCACACACTGTCTCACACGTGTAGTCCATCCACATCAAAACCATTTTAGTCTCATCCCACCCTACCCCAGGCCCTCCCATTCCCAGAAATGACAACAGAGGCGGCAGCCGAGATCGATAGGAAACGTCTCGTTGACAGCTCAGAGCTTAAAAAAAAAATATATACACATATATAAAAAACACTCTGCCCCTCCCCCATGAACAGGTCCAGGCAGCTCCTTCCTGCAGGGGCAGGGGAGAGGGACACGGGACACTGCCTGCTTTCTTGAAGGCAGCGCCTTTCTCTCCCTCCAGTTCATCGTGGGAGTCCAGGCGGCAAGCCCCTCTGGGAAGGAAAGGCTCCCTGAACATCCACCTTGATGCAGGCTGCAGGTGTGGAGGCCTCACCGAACTCTTTAGGACACACTCCCACCCCCAAACTCCCCGGTCCATTGTCCATGCTGGAACTGCAAGTGCAGAAGGGGGTGGGGTGCACCCGTCCAGTGCTGGCTCAGTCTGATGGTCGCTGTTCCTGGAGAACCCTTGGAGCCGATGGCTCCAAGACCGCAGAGTCCTAGCCTGGGCTCATGCAGCCTTCTACCCCCACTGAATTTTTTTTTAAAAAAGGAATAAAGAAAGAAAGTGGGGGAGGCTGAGGGGACAGAACATAGGGAGAGACAAAGGTGGTCAGTTGGGGAGGGGAGCTCTGCAGTGGGCTCTCCTTGGCTGTCTGCCCAGGGTGGGGGCTGAGTCTCAGTTGGAGTCAGAGTCTGAGGAGTCCCCTGAAGAGGAAGAGCTGGAGCTGCTGCCCTCAGACTCATTGTCTTCATCCTCATCGTCATCCTCATCATCATCGTCGTCGTCATCGTCGTCCTCATTCTAGGAGGATAAGGAGTCCGCGATCACTGGAGAGTCCTCCTCCTGGTCCACAGCCCTCCCTCCTGCCACGCTCTGGCTACCCACCTCATCCCCATCTTCGCTCTCATCTTCGCTGCTAGACTCAGAAGAGTCCCCGCCATCCTCGGAGGAGTCCCCGTTCTCATCATCTTCCTCCTCTTCCTCTTCCTCATCATCCTCATCTTCCTCATCATCATCCTCCTCAGACTCCTGGGAAGTGTGGAGATACATCAGTGGCCGGATGGTAGCCCCTTCGCCGGGCCCTGCCCCGCAGACGCCCGCCCATCTTGGAGGGGCTCCTTACCGACTTAGGCTGTAGGGTGGTTCGGCTAGACTTAGGATTTGGGCCTCGAAGCTTAGTCATGCTCTTACGTTTCTACCAGAAAGGGTGGGAATGGGAAGGGGGTGGCAGTGAGTTCCAGTTCCTGCAGAGTTCCTCCCGCCCGCGCCCCCCGCGCACTGCCCTGCCCTCACTCACATTGGAGATGTATTCTTTGTATGCTGCACGGTCCTGGGGAGACAGGCTCTGCAGAGAAGAGCTGAGAGTCAAGCATCCCCATCCCACCGCGGGCTACATACGCCAAGGCTCCCGGGGCAGAGCATCGTATACCACCACCCATGTTTTTACCCTTAGCCTCCCCAAAGCTTGGCCCCTGCAGAGCGCTCATAGGGGCTCAGAACACAGCTCTTGATTGTGCCACGAGCACCTTTCTGAGTCATCCTGTACTGGCGGCCGGTCTCCTATCAAGTTCCCCCAACCGCTACGCCCAAATCATAGCCCCACACTCAGGACCTCCTAGACCCCAAAGCCTTGCCCATGACTCATGAGGGGACCCTGGACCCTGGTCTTGGAGCCGCTGGTGAGATGATGGAGATTGACAAAATTCTAGACATTAATTCCCACCATCTCTCTGGGTCTTTGGTCCACCAATGGGTGGCAGGCAATTTTCCTCACTGTATACATCTGACTGTTCAAAGCCATGGAGAAACAGAGACTGACAGCCTGGCCAGGGCTTACACGTCCACTGGTCCTGGCTGGAAGGGAGAAAATGCAGCTGACCTGGAGGACTTTCTACCATGTAACCCTGGCAAATTACTTAATGCCTTGGCTTCTTTAGCTTTAAGAGTACCGGTGTCCATTGCCCCACAGGATCTCTGAGTCACCAAGGAGCCGTGAGTGAGGATCCCGTAGCAGGATGCCTCCCTTTCCCTTGCAGGATCCCCTTGTCCTCTCTCACCTTGACCCAGAGGTCCAAGTGCACCTTGTACTGCTTCTGCTGCTCCTCTGCCAACTTCTTATAGTGTTCCTTCTGGCTTTGGGAGATCCGCTGCCAGCGGCTGCCAATCTCTACCATGCGCTCCTTCAGCGGCAGGTGATTCAGCTCCCCATTGGACAGCAGCTCCTGGGAGAACTTCTGGTAACCGTTCCTGCAGGGTGGGGGTGACACAGGGTTAGGTCCAGGTCTTCAGCGAGCCATCTTCCTGTCTCCTCTCTTCACGAACCAGGATAGGCTCTAGCCTCAGGCTTACATGGGAGGTTTTTTGGGCTCCCCCTGGAACTTCATCTTCTTGGAAGAGTTCGTAGCAGCTGGAGGGGCCCGCATCTCACTTAACTCTCTCTGTGGAGAAACATGGAGAGGTCACATTCACACCCACATTGTCATCAAGCCTTTGCTGGCTCTTTTATATTCAAGAAAAGGGAGAAACTGCCTAGAATGGACTTGTAATTCTAACATTCCAGATATTAGGGTAGGAAGACCTAGACTCTCCCAGAAGCAACTACTTACCAAATTAGCACATCTATGCCCTCTAGGAGGCACTTAGGAGGCTAGTATCTGGACTCTCACCTACCCCGTGACAGGCTGAAGGTTAAGAGACTGGCCCAGAACCCACTCATTTACATGGAGGCAAGTGGTTCAACCCCTTCTCACCTCATATCGTTTTTGGTCTTCTGCTGCCTTCTTAATCCACATCAGCTTCTCCTTCTTCTCCATGTTGTTCCAAGTCATCTCCATTGCTTTCAAGGCTTTCACCCGGTCATTCTAAGGTACAAACGACGGGCATCAGCTGTGGGAGGGGCTCTGTTGCTGCTGGGGGCTGCAAACCAATCCTTTCCCACTCCATGCTACCTTGAAGCGAGCCAGATAGTCTCCAATGACACTCTGCTGCCATATTTCCTCAGCTCTCTTGGGCGACTCAGGCAGCTTGCCTCGCTCTTCACGCTCCCCACTTGGCTTCCTCTCTGACTGAGCCTTGAGAGCAGCCTCCCGGGCTTTGTACTTAGCCTAAAGGAAAAGCAAATGGAGTCAGCACGCGAACCACCCCTAGGGGGCGCGCCAAGCCAATCAAGCAGCCGCAGCAGGCTCCTGACTAGAGGGCGGGACCGGCAGAGGCGAAGGCGGGGCCAGCAGAAGCCACGGGCAGCGCTGAAGTCCCGCAGACTCCGCCCCACCCATGGGGCTGCTCTCCGAGGGAGACAGCCCTAGCTGACAGCTTCCCGCCTTCCAGCTCGCGGGCACATGTGTGATCCACACCAGGCGCCTTAACTGCCCGTGGAAGCGGCCCTTAGGGAAGACTGGTGCCAGACTCTAAGGTCTGACCTTCTTCTTCTCGGACAAGTCGTTCCACATGCGGGCCAGCAGGCGGGTCAGCTCGCTCTCTGAGAGCTCAGGCCGCTCCTCCTGCAGCTGCCTTCGCTTCTCCTCTGAGAAGATGAACATGGCAGACACAGGCCGCTTGGGCTTTTCAGAGCCGCCCTAGGAGGGACGCAGAGGGTCAGAGGTACAGTTACCGTTAGCATCCTGTGGGCGGCTCCGGCTCCACCGTATGCGGCTGTCCTGCGGCACATACCTTGCCACCTTCCTGAGAGGGCTTCTTGGAGGCTGGACTGGTGGTCTGCTTCTTATTGATGTTCAACATCTTTTCCTCCCCCAGGACCCGCTGCTGCTCTTCCTCGGGCAAGCTCTGAGCAGGAAGAAGAGGGGCACGGGCTGCAGCAGGCAGGCTCAGACTCGAGACTGCCTGCCAGACTTGCCCTGTCTACCATGCTACTCACCTCGAGGAACCGCAGCAGCTCCACCTCATAATCTTTCTTTTTCTAGAGAGAAAGGGAACTCAGTCAGCTGGGGACTGCCTCCATTACTCTGGGGCAGTAACCTCGGTGGGCCCCTAGGGACTAGGTGTAACCTTCTCTCTCCCTAAAGATGGTAGACAAGAAGGCCTGAGCTGTCTGCTTTTATAGATGCAGACATTGCTCACTGCCAAGTTGGAGCAGATGGCCAAGGCACATGTAATCAATGAATAACAGCCTGGCTGGGGCAAACCTCATGCTTGAAACAGACCCCGGAGATGAGAGCGGTACCTGGTCACATTTCTTGTGATAGGCATCCTTTTCCTTCTGGGAAAGCAGCTTCCACTGCTGGCTGCATAGCACCATGCGCTCTGTGCTGGGCACATCCTTCATGTTGGCCATGAGCTCTGCACAGTACAATGAGTAGCTGTTCCTATTTAATCCAAGAGGAGACATGTCCATGAGCAAGTGGGCAACAGGCTTCCTAGCCGCCCAACCCAGGCTCAAGTTCTTCAAAGGCCCAACTCCCTGGCTGCCCACTTGCCCCCCCCCACCCAGGGCAGCGCTCACGGAGGTGGCTTGGTAGGTCGCCCGTCAAACTTGTCCTTGAGCTGGCGTTCGGCCTTGGTGAGGGTAGATTTGGTGATGCCTTCCTCGCTGATGTTTAGCTCGGGGTGCTTCTGGATATAATCACGCATCATCTCCTGCAGAGTGAGAGGCGGGGGGAGTGGAGGGTAACGGGGTGTGGGGTTAGCTGGGACGCCATAAGGGGGGAGAGCCGCTGGGGAAGGAAGGCAGGGAGCAAAGCTGGGGACGGCCGTGCATGTCTGTGTGTCATTTGTAGCATGGTGCCCTGCTCTGCCCTAGCCTGAGATCTCTCCGTGGGGCGGGGGTTGAGATGGTAGGGGCAGAGGTGAGGGGCCCCAGAGGGCCCCTCCCTCGATAGAGGGCCGGGGAATGACCGCCACCTGCAGAATGCGGTGACGCAAGTCAGAGGGCGGAGGCTCGTGAAGAGCCGGATGGGGAGGAGCGCAGCGGAAGCCTAACCTCGTACTCCTTCCGCTGCTCCAGGGCCTTATGAATCCATTTCAGCCTCTTTTTGTCCGAGAGCTGAGACCACTGCTTCCCCAGGGACTCCTTCACCTCCTTCGTAGTGGCCTGCAAACCAAAAGCCGTCAGACACACCCAGGCAGCCAGGGGCAGGGGAGGGGGGTGAGGGGCACAGAGGCCCCGCCCCCTCGGGCCACAGGAGGTCACACTAGTGTCCACCACAGGCCAGGAGGGTAAGGAGAGGCAGGGATCCGCCTGCCTTGGTGCAAGGGACAGGCTCACACACACTCTCATTCACACGCCAGCTGGCCCAGGTCCTGTCCATGCAACCCCTCGCTGGGGAGGGGCCTCCTCTCCTGCTCCCCTGCACCATACCCAGCCACCTGGCGCGGCTCCCCCCTTGCCACCGCCGTGTGCCCTCCACCCCGACCCTTTGGCCAGACACTCACATCTGGCCGCACTTTGAGATACACCTTCTTCTCATGGGTATACCACAGTTGCTGGGGAGTTTTGGGCTTCTCTGGGATGTCCGACTTCTTGGCATTCTGGATAAGGTCAGGGTGATCCTCCCTAGCCAGGGGACCGGAGCAAGGGTCAGCAGGGGCACTGCTAAGGCAGACCCCAGCTAGCTGTCCAACCCAAGCCTTCTTTCTAGGCCTCCTGCTGGAAACTTACTGAAGTTACTGGCCAGCAGCCTGTCCCTGCCCCTGAACCTGACACTAACAGTCTACACAAGACTTCCATGTTTCATGGACGGTCAGTTCTGGTCTCCAGCCAGGATCCACTTATCCTACCACACCCAGTGCCCCATGGTCCTCCTCTGCCTTACCTGAATCGGGCCAGGTTTCGCTCGAACTCCTGTTTCTCCCTCTGGAAGTCCTGAATATATTTCATCTGAGGGGAGGAGGGGATGGGGTCATCCAGGACCCGAGGGCTGTTTCACCCAGAGCTAGAAAAGCCACCCTCCTGACTGCCTTGCCCTCCGTGAGTTAAACTCACACTAGGCCTGGATTTACAGGGGTCTTTCAGACAGACACCCAATCTCCATCCTATTCTCTTAAGGCAAAATGTCCCAGAAGCCAGGGGACATGGTGTCACCCACTGTGTGGACAGCGGCAGGCTAGGACTACCCACCCCTTTCTCCTGAGACTTGGCACTGTTGCTCTCTCCCCACCCTGGGGCAGCTGAGGTTGGTCTGTCCCCTCCAAGGTGGCTAATAGAACCAGGGGGCTAAATTCTTCTTCTAAGGCAGGAGAGGACAGGGTGGAAGGGTCACAAAATTAATTCTTGCAATGCAAATCACACCCCAATGTCCTGAATTTGGAGTTTCTCCCCTATCCATCAGCTCTAGGTCTCCAGTACTCCCCATGTTCCTGGGAACCAACCCCTCCTGCTTTCGATCCCTTCCTCCAGGGTCCCTCAGAACCCAACTTCTCCAACTTTCCTCTGGATCTTGCATCCTGGCTCCCACGTACTAGACATTCCCTTCCTCTCTCTATTTAGAGGATCACACTAGCACTGGAAAGGACTAGAGGCTCACAACCAACCAGACCCCTTCCATAAGAGGTACCAGGTGTAAGGAGGCAGCTCACTTTATCCACACTTCCCAAGGAAAACAAGAAACAGCACAGCCTTCTTGGGGCAATCTCAGTCCTCCTCAGCCCAGTTTTTGGAATTAAGAGGCGTATGAAGGTTCTGGCTCACTCTACACCCCAAATCAGCAGTAGTGAAATGACTTACCTGATGCCCCCTATACAGCCGGACAGGCCCAAATCAGTATGCCCTTACTAATGTCCTCTGCACTCAAGTTTCTCTGGACCTCTTCCTTCCATCCCTTAGGGGTTTGGTGGTGTGTGTAGTCCCTGTCCTAAGTGCTCACCCATGGGTTAACCGACCTTTGGCAATTCTTGCTACTCCTTGGCTTGGGTACGGGCCAGATAGTACGTTGGCTGGTACCATGGGGGGGCGGGGCTTGATATAGACAACTTCCTGTCCTTTGCCTGTCAATGTACATTTTTTACATCTTGCTCCCCCTCATCGAGGCCTCTCCCTGTCTCATCACCCATCATCTATCTCTTCTATGTGTTTGCTCACTCCTCACCTCATTCTGTTCTTTTGTGATATAAACTCCCTTTGGTGTTTTGCTTTCTGCTTTCCAGGGAACCTGAGCTGTTTTTAGCTTTATGCATCTCTACTCAGGAGGTTTGGGCAACTTCTACCCCTAAAGTGAAATACCCTGGTAATCTAATCAGAGGTCCATTTCTGTAGGGAACAGCCTGAGGCAAGGAAGAAAGACGTGTGCCTTGTACACGGGGAGGCAAGCTCACTTATGTGAACATGGCAGGAAAGAGGGATCTGGAATTAAAAGGTGCCCTAACATCATTCTGCACAATCAACCAATTCCCTTTCCTGTGGTCTCTGTATGCTCACGTATAACAATAGGTAGAGAATGCTGTATAGATTGCCAGGAAGGATGCTTGAGTGTGACGGTTCAAAACACAATACCAGCGGCCGAGGGGTAACAAGAGAATGCCTCTGGGTCTGTCTTCCCCCACAACAGGGCCTCCGTGTACACCCACTCTGCTGTTTTACCCACCCACACCCCTTTGTCTAAAGCCTACCCCTCTCCACTGACCTACCCACACCAGCTGCTCTCACCTCAAAGCATCTCTGCCCTCCCCCGCATCTGAGCCCCCCTCCCCCCACCTTCTTCTTCTCTGGAAGCTCCTTGTACTTCTTAGACAGAATCTTGGTCAGGTCCAGGTTGCTCATCTCAGGGTGGAGTTTTGCGTACTTGGCCCGCTTCTCCATGAAGAAGCGGAAATAAGGGGTGAGAGGCTTCTTTGGGAAATCTGGGTGTTTCTGGAATAGAGAAAACTGACATTATATACTATCCATTCTTTAAGGCCCGACACCTCGACTTCTCCTCCCGGTAACTTACCTTGAGTTTTTTGCCTTTGTAAGGATTTTTAACATGTTCCTGAGCATCAAGGATCAATTCCGTCAATGTACGAAACTTCCTCACCTGAAGGAAGAAGGAAATGAGGAGAAAGGAATTTGGGAAATACCACCCCATAGCTCTTTCCCAATGTTATTTCTAGTATTGTTGCTCTATTCCTCGCCAGACTGAGTTCTCTGAAGGAGACAAACCCTGACTCAGAGGCACTAACTACCGCACGCCCACTGCAGAGGTCCAAGCAGTTGGCACACACACCTAAGAGCCGTCACAGGAGGATGGACGGACTTTACTGTAGCTGCCACGCCTGTCCCCCATTCAACCCCTTAGACTGGTGTGTGCCACAGAAGGCTGAGGCAGCAAGTACTCAAGGCCACCTAGAGAGACTGCAGTAAAAGCATTGTGAGCGCTGGGCTGTTGCTATTGCCCAGGTCACTTTGTCCCATAAGGCACAAATCAGAGCTGACAAACATGTCAACACTGTCTGCCCAATAGGACAGGTTTGCTTTATTTTCCCGCTGTTTTTTAAAAAAGGCATAGAAGTGTATTTATATGTCAAAAAGTAGGAATCCGTTACCTCATTAGAAATCTCCACCCATTTGAGCTTGCACATATCTCCTGAAAAGTCCTTAAATGCAACTTTTTCCCAGTCCATATGCGACTCTGTGGTTTTGAACTTGGAGCTGTCATTGGATGGAAGGTTGTTCTTCATGCATTCCAGCAAAGTTAGCATATCTTCCTGGGACCAGCGCTCTGGTGCGGTATAAGAGAAGTCATTGCACATGGCTCATGCCATTCCCTTTATCTGTTCCTCAGTCTTTTTGAGTTCAAACCCTCCTCCCAAAGCCCCTGGTTGCCTTTCATCTGAATTACTGCATCTTTATTTAGACCTGGCTCAGTCCTAAAAACAGGAGCTCTGGATCAGATACCACCACACTTAGCAACTCTAGATATCACATCTGGCTTACCCCAAAGCTATCATGTCTAACATGTTAGGCTCCTACGGACCTCTTTTTATTATATGAGATGGAGTGAAGCTATAGTGATTTGGGGGCCCTATGGACAAACAGCTTACCAGAAAGGGAAAAAAGTTGGGAGGGAGCTAACTAAATCACAAGCTTGCAAAGGCCTGAGCTGGAGTGTGGGTAGCATGGTACCCCATGAAGATTTCTCCAGCACAGCCGAGAGACCAACATTAAAGACATATACATTCTGGGAGAGCAACATTAAAGACAGTACATTCCATCACCTGCCTCCCCACAGTCACCTTAAGGAAGACCAAAGGGGGAATTTCTGGCAATTAAGAAAGACGGAATTCAAACATCAGAAACACACACACACACACACACACACACACACACACACACACACACACACACACACACCCCAGCTCTGAGAAAAGGCATGCAGATGGGTAGAGTTCTCAGGGTCTTACTCTCTGGAGATGCCCAGAATTCCAAGTTGCCATCACCTGCTAAATTGCATCCTAAAGACAGCAGAGTCTCTCTTGGAGAGTGGCTGCCCTGGAAACTGAGCTAGGGGAATCCATGACCAGGATGCAAAGGAGCTCTTGACTTTCTTTGCATTCGGTAACCTGGGCCAGGGTTTCAGCAGAGAGGGTCACATGGATCCATGATCCTCTCCCCTAATGTCTTACAAGCATTGCCAGATGGTCAGCTCCAGACCCTCCACTTCTCAGACATTACACCACCAGAGGCTGCTGGGACCATAAACCCCCTAACTACCCCTCTCCTCCTTCTACCTGCCCCTGACAAAACTGCCCCTTTCTCCTTCTCCTCTAATACTTTAGGCTAACCGGGAACTGGCTGGCACGGGTCTTCCCTGGCCCTCAATCACAGCGGGAGGGGAACATAAAAAACACAATATATAAACTCAAGGATAAATAATTTGGATTTGGCCAAACCCAGAATTGACGGACGCTTGACTTTGTAAACTTTAGAACCTCTCCCAGTTCACAGATCAAAGTCTGGAGGAACCTTTTACAAGCTGACGAGTTCATGTGTGAGAAAAGACAAGTTTAAAGAGGACGGAAGCTGGGGGTCCCTACCTTGGCCTTTGGGGGTGGCCATTTCCAGGTCTGTGGGACAGTCCGCCTCTCCGTTCATTCTCCAGCTGTCCAGCCACCTCCTCGGTCGCGCTGGCCGGGCAACCCGGGGTCAGAGCCACCTCACCCTTTCGAAAAGACACCAGATCCACTCAGGTAGGCTGAGAGGAGAGGGACTTTCTATCCCACCCCCTCCGACATGGGAGGGGGCATAGGTTCGCACTATCAGCGAGACCCAAGCAGGAGGCTCACAGACTTCATCGGTGGGTCTATGAGTGAGCCCCTCTCTTCCCTACCCCAGCCCCTGCAGCCCGGTTGCACCGCATGCGCCCTCCCCTGCCCACGCGAGAGACTGCTCCCAGCTCCCGCGTGCAGCTAGCGCCCGCCCTCCGGACTCCTTCCCCCACCCCGGCCAAAAAAATTTTTTTCCCTTCCTCCTCCTCGTTGAGCGCCCGCCCCGGGGAGGCCCTAGGCTGGAGGGCGGGGGAGGAAGGGCGGGTAAAGGGCGCGCGCGGGCACGGAAGCGGGCACGCGCCGCAGTCTCCTCCTCCCGCTCCCCCCCCCCGCCGGTTCCCCCCGCCTCCGCAACCCGGCGGGGACCCGGACGCAGCGCAGCCGCCGCCAGCCCGGGAGCGTAGCGGCCGCACCGCCCCCGGGGACCAGATCCGGATTCCCGCTGCTCCCCCTTTCCAACCTCCCAACGCGGTCGCCGCCCGTCCGGCTAGGCAAGCAGCCGGAGAGAAGCGGCCTAGACTGTCCCCCGCCCCCGAGCCACCCACCGGGGCCAGAGACGCCGCCGCCGCCCAGCTATCCCGACGCGCACGGAAGATGCCCGGCGCAGAGGCGCGACCGCGGCGGGAACTGCCGCCTCCTCCCCGAGCCTGCGGCCCAGCCCTGCCGGCGCCCCCGCCCCGGCCTCCGGGGAGCCGAGCCAAGCAGAGGGCGGGAGGACGGCGGCCGCGAGGCGGGGGCGCTGCGCTCACCGGCCCCGCCGCCCCCTCCGGCGGCCGGCGAGAACTGCGCCTGCCGGCCGGAGAAGCGCGGGCTCCTCCACCTGGGGCCTCGCTTCCTGCCTTTCCCACCCCCGGCTCTCGGCGCCCTTCCCCGTGCCCCGGTCAGCTCGTCTCCAGTCGTCCCCGGTACCGCCGCCCGGCGTCCGTGGCTCGCTCCCTAGCCCCGGCCCCGGTCCTCCGCCGCCTCGGTTACCCGGCGCAGCGCGGCCTCTGAGCTCCCCGCTCCGGCGGCTCCCTTCCCGGCTCTGAGCGCGGCGCCCTCCCCCGCTCGGCCGGGCACAGCCGCAACTCCCTCCCGCGGCGGCAGCGGCTCCTCCTCCGGGCGCGGCGGCGCTGGGGCGGCGGCTGCTGTGGCGCGGCGGCGGCTGTGGCTGCTGCCTGCTGCTCCTCGCGGCGAAAAGCACAAAGCACAGCGCCCTCCGCCTGCAGGCAGCCCGCCCGCCGCCCGCCCGCCCGCCGGCCCCGGCCTCAGCTCGCACACCCCCCGCCGCAGCAGCAGCCTCCGCCGCCGGAGCGGGGAGGAGGAGGGAGAAGGGAGGAGGAGGAGCGGGAGGGGGGGGCGGGAGAAGCGGGGCAGCGAGCGCGTCCTTCCCCGTAGAGCGCACACCGACCCCCGGGGAGCGAGCGCCAGCCCGCCCGCCTCGCCGGCTCCGCTCCCTCCCACAGCCTGCCCGGGCGGGCTCCGCGGGGGGCAGCTGGGAGGAGGGGCGGGCGCTGGGGGGACCCGGGCGGCCGAGGCGGAGGCAAGGAAGGAGGGGAGGGGGGTGGTGGTAGTGGCGGCGGCGGCGGCTGCTGTTGCTACCGCCGGGGAAAGGGGGGGCCGGGGCAGGGAGACACGCAGCCGCCCGGATGGCGGCGGGGCTGCGAGCCGAGGCGGGCTAGCAAGCAGACGGGGAGAGCGACCTCGCCAGCCCCGCGGGGGAACTAGCAGGCTTGGCCGGCGCGAGAGGGAGGGCCGAGGTGCAGCGGTGGAGAGGGTGCCCAGAGGGGTGGCCGGCGAGCCTCGCGGGTACCGGCAGCCCTGCTCTGGAGCTCTCTTCCAGGTTCTCCTAGCTTAGGCTCGTCTTCCGGACTAGCTCTCATCTGCTTCCCTCTCCCGCCTCGGGGAGCGGGCAGTCGCCCACCCTGGGACCCGGAGCGTGGCCATCGGCTTCGGGCTCACGCTGCCGGATCGCGGTGCCAGGTTTCGGCGCCTACCTCTCGATCCCCTTATCGCCGAACGGCACTCGTGAAACTTAAAAATGTATTACCAGTCCACTAAAAACAAACAAAAAGCACCAAAATCGACCTTGTTCCTTACACCCGGGAAACCGCCTGGAGTGGCCGGCCCCGGCATTGGAAGGGAGCCGGTTCAATCCAGCCCGGCGTGGCTCCAAAGGCCTGTCCTGGGCGCGTGGAGCCCGGAGATTGGCGCCGCTGGGGAGCAACCCCTTTCCCCCGAAATCCGCCGCACCGAGACCCACTTACCGAACGTGGGAGTGCTAGTGAGGGCCGGGAGAACCTTGCACTCCGGCGGGCGGAAGAGCGGAGTCGCTGCTCCGCAGCTGCCGACGCTGGGGCAGCGAGTCTCCAGACAAAGCCCGAGATGGCGAAGCGGAGCGACGGCTAATGGCGAGCCCCACGCGCCGCGCTCCGCCCGCCCCGCTCCGCCCGCCCGCCTCGGCGCAGCGCAGCGCCGCTTCGAGCGCTCGCCCGTCAGAGCCGCCTTGGCGCCGCCGCCTCCCGGGCCGCCCCGGCCTCGCCTGGCCCCTCCGCCTCCTCCGGACGGCTCAGCCTCACCCCTTCCCTCCCACCGCTCTGGGGGCTGCACGAAAAATTTTAAAAAAGGAATAAGAAAAATTCTTTGTTTTTTTTTCCTTATTTTTTTTCTCAGTGCAGACATTTTTCGACATTTGGCTCTCCATTTTTGCTCTCGGCTCGCACTCACCTGCGGGGCCGCCGGCAGGGCTGGGGGCGGGGGTGCGCGGGGCTAGAGCCGCCGAGCGCGGGTTGAAAGCTAGCCAAGCTCTGCAGCGCCCGACCCGGGCGTGTACGCCGCCGCCAGTCCCCGCAGAGAAACCGTCCTCCTACCCCCGCCTCCATCGCTCTGCGTTTCTCTTCCAATCAGCCGGTCGCTTGGCGGCTCCTCCAGTCTCCGGCCAAGCCAGCTGCCTAGAGCGAGCTCCGCTCCATCTGCTCGCCCGACTCCTCGCTCCCCTGCCGGGGCGGGCGAGGCAGTTTGAAGCCGGAGGGGGATCTGTGAGGGATCCAGCCTCCTCTCGCTCCCATTGCTCCATCCCCGCTGTCTCCTGCCTCCTCCTCCTCTCCTGCGTTTTTCCAACTCTCCCCTGTCGCCACTGGTGTGTGTCTGAGTGTATGCGCAGGTTTTTTTTTTTTTTATTGCTTTGCTTTTGCAACCCTGAAGCTAAAGCGGGGTGGGGGCGAAGGGAGTGTTACAAAAAAGAGAGAAGAAAAAAAAAAGACGCTCCTAGGTTTGCAACACATCAAAATACCGGGGAAGCACCCCTCCTCGTTCGATCTCGATGCCCCGCGAGGGCCTTCCGGGTTTCAGAGCGAGTCTTTCGTTGTTCTCGATGCCCCCCATCTTCAGTGGCCTTAGGATCCGAGGAGTTAGAGCGAAAAGTTCTCCCCTGGGTCGTAGTGGAGTGTCAGTAGGAGTTAGGGAGATTTTTCAAAACGCAGCGGAGCGGCCAATCCCTTCTTCCCCGGCTTCCGTAACTAGGCCGCGGCCGGGGTGGGGGTTTATAGCCAAATCCCGGCGCGTTAGTGCGAAGGAGCTTGAAAGGGGGAAGTGAGAACCGGGAACAGAGCTTCGTGCGTCTCCCCTTGGTCTCTGCCTCCAGTCGCCTGCTAGCTCCCCCTTTAATTTTTTTTCCCTTCTCTCCTTTAATCTAATTTCTTCCAACTCCACCTTTGTTGTTACCGGCGTCACGCCTGGATCAGCCAATCCCCTCCTCACAATCAGCTTGTCAAAAAGGCTTGGCCAGCCCTGCGCTAGCAGGCCGCGGGCGCTGCCCCCACCCCCGGCGGCGGTGGGGAGCCGGGAGGAGAGCCCGGCACCCCAGTCCAAGGCAGGAGCTGCAGCCCGGCCACCGCCGTTCGAACTTCCCGCAATCCACCATCCAGCAAGTCTAAAGAGGAAAGGCCTGGGCGTGTACTTTCTGGTCTCCCGCTGCCATCGGCTACTGTAGGCTTTGCCTCCCCTGCTCGGCGGCGGACGGGATATCAGGATTAGACGGAGGGAGGGAGAAGGCAACGTGAAGGCCAGCCCACACATGGTTTGTGCCATCGCTCCCCCGGCAACGCCATTGCTCCTGGCTCCTCGGCTGCCACAATAACACTGCTGTTGCTCACATCTCAGCCAGCTGGGTCGCACTGTCTCTTTGGACTATTCCTTGGCACACTGCCTCCTTCTTCCTCACAGTTCCGCTGCTGGTGTAATTCCTCTTGTCTCCTGGGGAGGATGAGACTCCTTTCCCAGGACTTCACTCCCCACTTCTGCCACGTTGCATCAACCGAGACCTGATGAGTCCAGCTCAGAGGCTCAGCCTGTACGAGAGGCAGATTGACCAAGATAATTAATGAAGTTTAGGCTTCAAGGCTCCTTGCTTGGAAGGCCTACCACGGGTCTGTTCTCAAATTATTATTTTATTTTTTAATAAAAAGAGTTCCTCCCAAATTGTACGTTTAGAGCCCCACCAGCCCAGATCTGCCTCTGGAATATGCTCTAGGTATTTTGTATGGAATCAAGCCATCTCCTGCCACACTAAAAAAGCCGAGCGTGGAATGTACTTATCTGCTTTGACAAGGGTAGCATAAAAGGTTTAGAATTAAAGGGCCAAAGTGTCAGCCTTGATGGCCCACGCCTTTAATGTCAGCACTTGAGTTAGGTGGATCACTTGAGTTTAAGGTCAGCCTGTTCTGTATAGGGAGTTGATGGCCAACCAGAGTTTTTCCCACCCTACCTTTTGTTTTGGTTTTGATTTGGGGTTTTTTGTTTGTTTGTTTTTTGTTTGTTCTCTCTCTCTCTCTCTCTCTCTCTCTCTCTCTCTCTCTCTCTCTCTCGCTGTGTGTGTGTGTGTGTGTGTGTGTGTGTGTGTGTATGTAGCCCTGGCTGTCCTGGAACTCTGTAGATCAGGCTGGCCTCGAATTTACACATCCTTCTGCCTTTGCCTCTCGAGTGCTGAGATTAAAGGCCTATGCCACCATCGTCTATCCTACCCCACCTTAATACTGTGTGAGTTTGAACAAATTCTGCCCTAACTAGATCCCATCTCCATATCTATATATACTTAGAATAAGAATCCGATTCCTCAGGCCGGGCGTTGGTGGTGCACGCCTTTACTCCCAGCACTTGGGAGGCAGAGGCAGGTGGATCTCTGTGAGTTCGAGGCCAGCCTGGTCTACAAGAGCTAGTTCCAGGACAGCCTCCAAAGCCACAGAGAAACCCTGTCTCCAAAAAAAAAACCAAAAAAAAAAAAAAAAAGAATCCGATTCCTCATCAGAGATTGGAGGGTTAAGTGAGATGATGTAAGTAAGTAAAACTATATAGTTCTCCATATATGGCACTGCCCACAACTAAAACCAGAGAAACATACCCCAATAAAGTCCAAAAGTTGCATGAAGAGATCTGGAGCGCAGGTACTCTGGCTTCTTGCCTGAACTTCTTGGCTGGGCTCAGGGGCTTTTCGGTAAAGTGCTTTGGAATAAAACGGGACAAACATGAATCACAAGAACTGTTGTGATTATTGTTGATTCCTTGGGCAGCAAAAATCATGGCTGGCACCTTTCCCACTTGGAAACCATTTGGCTTTTTTACCTTTGTTGGGTTTCTGGTGAGGTCAGGAGTCCACATTTCGGGCTACAGGCCACAGTGAAAGAATCTGCCCTTATGCTTGTCTCTCCCTTCTCTGTCTCCTCGCTGTTTCCTGCTTTCTGTCATTTGCCTTGAAGCAGAGCCTTGACATTCCACAACTCCAGCCCAGGCTGGCGACAAAACATAACGCTGCCTACGCACCCTTCTTTGGGCTGCCCCATCCAAACACAGGCTCTTGGGAAACGCCGGAGTTCCCCGAGTACTTTAAGCAAAATGTAGTAGTTGAACTGTTATACAAAGAAGAAAAAACTTTAAAACAAGATTTTTTAAATTTAAGCCGGGCAGGTGATAGCACACGCCTTTACTCCCAGCACTTGGGAGGCAGAGGTAGGCGAATCTCTGTGAGTTCCAGACCAGCCTGGTCTATAAGAGCTAGTTCCAGGACAGCCTCCAAAGCCACAGAGAAACCCTGTCTCAATCCCCTGCCCCCCCAAAAAACAAACAAAAACCCAAAGATTTTTAAAATTTAAATTAGAAGCCGGGAGTTGGTGGCGCATGTCTTTAATCCCAGCAAAAGGCAGGCGGATCTCTATGAGTTCGAGGCCAGCCTGGTCTACAGAGTGAGTTCCAGGACAGCCTCCTAAAACACAGAGAAACCTTGTCTTGAAAAACAAAAAAACAATAATAATAATTTAAATTAGACACAATCTTGTTTTACATGTCAATCCCAGTTCCCTCTCCCTTCCCTCCTCCCCTGCCTCCCTATGCTGTCCCCTTTCTGCTCCTCAGGCATCTTCAAAGTCGGTCACATCATTTGGATCAGGGCCTAGGACCTCCCCCATGTGTCTAGGCTGAGAGAGTATTCCTCTATGTGGAATGGGCTCCCAAAGTCCAATTGTACGCAAGGGATAAATACTGATCCACTACCAGAGGCCCCGTAGACTGCCCAGGCCTCCTAACTGACACCTACGTTTAGGGGATCTGGGTCAGTCCTGTGCTGATTTCCCAGCTATCAGTCTCCCCCTTGAAGATTTAATTAATTTATTTATTTATTTATTATTTTTTTTTTTTGGTTTTTCGAGACAGGGTTTCTCTGTATTGTTTTGGAGGCTGTCCTGGAACTCACTCTGTAGACCAGGCTGGCCTCGAACTCACAGAGATCCGCCTGCCTCTGCCTCCCGAGTGCTGGGATTAAAGGCGTGCGCCACCAACGCCCGGCGAAGATTTAATTTTTTATGTATATGTGTGCATATCTGTAGGAGTGGATATATGGAGTCAGAAGAGGGTGTTGGGTCCCTTGAACCTAGAGTTACAGGTACCATGTAAAGATTAGCTGTGTTAATAAAATTAACCTTGGACAGAGGACAGAGCCAGTGATGAGTTGACAGGAATTAGTCATAGAGAGGACACAGGAGCCAAGAATATGGATAGAGAGACTAACAGGAGGGAGTAGGGAGGGACTGAGAGATTTAAGGATTGTTTTGTTTTGTTTTTTCCTTTTGGGATAAATGAAAAGACACATCTCTTGTTGGGTCTCCAGCCAAAAAGGATGGTCAGATGGTTGCTTCTCAGCTTCTTTGAGCTAAGGTTTTTCCCCAGCATCTGATTCCTTAATCTATTGGTAAATAGAATGATAAAGACTTAGTTAAAAACTACATTTGAGCCAGGCGGTGGTGGTGCACATCTTTAGTCCCAGCACTTGGAAGGCAGAGGCAGGAGGATCTTTGTGAGTTCGAGACCAGCCTGGTCTACAAGAGCTAGTTCCAGGACAGCCTCCAAAGCCACAGAGAAACCATGTCTCAGAAAAAAAACAACCAAATAAAAAAAAAAAACTCCTACATTTGTTGGCTTCAGAAATCCTGCCAAGCTGCATAGTTAAAATATAAGTAGATTCAGTTGCAGCTGCTAAGTCAACAAAAAACAACACACACACACATATATATATAGTAAAAAATATATAATGTAACAATCTATCAAATCAAAATTGAGTATTCCCAGTATCTAACATGTTCACCCAGGCAGTATTTCCCTCTAAATGCCCTCAGCAATCTGAGTTCTGTCTCCATGGATTAGCTTGGTGGATTACATGGTATTCTACAGAATAAATATACCATAATTTGCAGGGCATGGTGGCACACACCTTTAATCCCCAAATTCAGGAGGCAGAGGCAGGTGGATCTCTGTGAATTCAAGGACAAGGTCTGGTCTACAGAGACAGTTCCAGGACAGCCAGAGCTGTTACACAGAGAAACCTTGTTTCGAAAAACAAAGCAAAACAAATGAAAATGCCACAATTTATCTGTTCTCCTGTTAATGGACATCTAAGTTGTATCCAGGTTTTGTGTGTGTTAAATTTTATTTATTGATTGTGTGCATGTGATGTGGGAGGAGCATAGCATGCCACATACATGTGGAGGTCAAAGGCTAACTGGACTCAGGGTTCTGCTTTCACTTTCACATGGACTCTGGAGCTCACACTTACGTCAGGCTTGCATTATTGAAAGGCAAAATTCTTTTTTTTCTTTTTCTTTTTTCTTTCTTTTTTCTTTCTCCGTATTGTTTTGGAGGCTGTCCTGGAACTCGCTGTGTAGATCAGGCTGGTCTCAAACTCACAGAGATCCACCTGCCTCTGCCTCCTGAATTTGGGGATTAAAGGCATGTGCCACCATGCCCTGCAAATTAAGGTATATTTATTCTGTAGAATACCATGTAATCCACCAAACTGTAATCCATGAAGACAGAACTCAGATTGCTAAGGGCATTTAGAGGGAAATATTGCCTTCCTTAGCCTTCCGAGTGCTGGATCTAAAGGCGTGCACCACCAATGCCTGGTGAGAGGCAAAATTCTTCATCTGATTGAGCCATCTTGCTGGCTCCAGTTTTTTTTTTTTTGTGAATAAAGCAGTTTTGAATATGGATGCATTATTATTATTATTATTATTATTAGCTTTTGTGTGAGAGGGGTATGTGCCACTGAGCACCTATGGAGTTCAGAACCAATCTCTCTTTCCACCATATGGGACCTGGGAATCAAACTCAGGCCAGCAGGCTTGGTAAATGGCACCTTTTCTAGCTGGGCCATCTTACTGGCCCACTTTAGTTTTTTGTTGGCTTGTTTTTGTTTTTTCAAGATAGGGTTTCACTGTGTAGTCCTGGCTGGCCTGGAACTTGCTCTGTAGACCAGGATAGCCTCAAACTCTCTGAGTGCTGGGATTAAAGGCGTACACCACCGCCCTGCTGTCCCTTTTTTTATTGGTTCTTTGGGAATTTCACATCATGCACCCCAATCCACTCATTTCCCAGTCCTTCTGTGTCTGCCCTCTACCCTTGTAGCCTCCCCCACAAAAGAATTTTTTTTCGAGACAAGTTTTCTCTGTGTAGCTTTGGAGCCTATCCTGGCATTCTCTCTGGCTGGCCTCGAACTCACAGAGATCTGCCTGCCTCTGGCTTACCCGAGTGCTGGGATTAAAGGCATGTGCCACCAAACACCCGGCCACAAAAGAAAATTTTAAAAAATAAAGAAGGAAATAGAAAACCACTTCCACTTCTGTCTTCCCTGCCTCCCCATCACATATTCATTTGTGGTAGTGGCCGTGGTAGCTTTGGTGTGTCACACAGCATACCCTTT